AAAAAACACGGTGAAGGCAACCGGCCCCCAGCCCAGCCCAGCCCAGCCCAGCCCAGCTCAGTCCAGCTTATTTAGTTAATTTAAAGTTCTTTCATTGGACCCCAATGTATGCCCAACCCCCCCTCAACCCCACCCAACCCCACCCAACCCTACTCAACCCCACTCGGTCCCACCGTGGTGCGCCCACTTGGCCCACAATGCATGCCCAACCCCTCCCCACCCACCCAAGCCCATTCTAGCCCCCCCGCAGCGCTGCGCGTCGCTGCCTTCGGGGTCGGCGGCATTGGCGGCAGCCATTAAACAATACGATAGTATATATACTAGAATAGAGCATAATATCATATAGTATAAATATACAAAAGTATATATAATAGAATAGAGCATAATATCATAGATTCATATAGTAGAGTATACTAAAAGAGGCTTGGAGATCCTAGCGGGCTGAGGCACTGGCGCTTCAACTTTGTCAGCTCCTGGAAACAGCTTGCACCGGCGGTTGGTGTGGGAACCCTAAACCCTAAACCCTAAACCCTAAACCCTAAACCCTAATAAACCCCAAAACCCTAACCCTAAAACCCGAACCCCCTAAACCCTATAGGGTTTAAGCGATTCAGGGCTTCGGGTTCAGGGACGGTGAGGATTTGGGGCAGGAGCCTGGGACTACTGGATGTGAGAAGCTAGAGGCTTTCCGAAGGCTCCCTGGCAGAACTCTAAGATCCCGTCCTTGACGGTCATCTTGCCCTTGCCCTTTCCCTTGTCGCCGCCCTTTTCCTGGCCCTTACCTGAGTGCAGACTCGGGGTTTAAGGGCTTCGGGGTCCTTTGCTGGGGGACTGGATGGCACCGGGCTTCCGGCCTCTGCCTTTCAGCTCCACCTCCCCCTCCTGCTCGTCCGCTCTCCTGCTTGCAGCTCTCAGCAAACCCTGCAGTGCTCCAAGCTTAACGCTTGAGAATACCGTAGACTTGGCTGCGAGGTAGACAGGGATTCGTTCCAGCGGGCATCCGTCCTCTTCACACCGATCTCCGAGGGCAACCTGTGCAGACCACGGTGCACAATTGTTGTGCTTAGGGCGCCGGCAAGGTAGTGGTCTCAAGTCTCGAAGCCTTCACCCATCCCTGAAAGACCAAATGCCAGGACCGCTAGGATCTTCTGCGGCCAGGTGTATCGAAACCCTCAACTCCCTGAACCCCAAAACCCAAGACTTATGACTGGACCCTGCTTCGACAACTAACGATCTACGAATCTACGACTGCGGGGCTTGACAGTGGACATGCCAACGCAAAACGCCCACTGCCGAGGTCCAAACACTGCTTCTTTGGCATCAGCACCGGGTAACCATCCCTGGACAGATGAGGGTTTGCTTCGCTCCAAGAAGCTTTTGAATTTGGAACCAACCCTCGGGTGCTCGAGTGTGTTGCTTTCACGTGATGAACCGCGCTTTTGCCAAGAGGGAAGTCTCGCACAAAGCCCTGACACTGTGGGAGTATCACACAGCGAAGAAAGAGTTCCGCAGCACCCACACCTGCCCCCGCAGAGTCGCTGCGGACGCAGACGTGACCCGGTCCTCAGCCATCCGAAGCAGGAGACACTCTTACCGACTCGGAGCATCGGCTTGTTTGTGCTTCAAAGCAGAACCAAGCTGGCATACCCCTAGATCACATGTTCAAACATCTCCAGGAGAAATGAACACAAAACACACATGATCACCCCAAAGCACAGACCGTCATGAGGCAAGCTGATCTTCGCATTCTGAGCTCGCTGCTAGGCTCATCTGATGACTTCGGACCTCATCGAGCTTAGGGAGGATTTGCTTTGGCGACGGCGGGGCGAGGGTTGTCATGAGGAACTCGGGAGCCGATTCAGGAGCTCAGGCGCCTGCCCGATCCGTCTTTTTGTGGTCCTTCTCAAACTTCTTGAAGGACAGGGCCTCCTGTCACGGGAATCAGGGGCCATGACCTCGGGGTCATAGATTAGGAAGGCCGTGTTCCTGGAGACGCCCGAAACCCTTGGTCTTAAAACAGCCTACCGAATAGCTACAGAAAAGCTACAGACAAGCCAGAAGAAAGCTACAGACAAAGCTATCGTCTGGAGTTCCGAATAAACGCACTGTATACAAGTTGGTTGGCGAAATACTGAGACGGAAAATTCGGATGGCACCGCCTCGACACGGTTGGGAAAACACGGTTTGTCTTGGAGGGTTTTGGGCAGGGCCAGGCGGGCTGCTACTGGCTTCATGGGTCAGTCTTGCACCGATACCCTCCGGCTGAAGTTGTTTATCGCTTTCTTCTGGCTGCCTTGCTGGACCAGCTCATCGTGGTGGGGACGCTTACCGAGGCTGGTTTTTAGGCGAGGAAATCTACAGGAAAGCTACAGGCCAAGCTGGCAGTAGCCCACGGGTCGAAGTGAAAGCTGAGCTTCGGGGGCGGGGGGCGGTTGGGTTCGACCCTGAGAGCCTATTGACGGACGAAAAAAGCAAGCTCAGTCTTTCAATGACCGGGGCCACGGATGCGGGGTCGCTTCGAAGTTGGCTTGTCGGTAGCTTTTGGATAACTCTTGCTTCGCTTTCTTCTGGCTTTGATCGCTTGCCACAGTGATCCCTCAGCTTGCAATTGTTTAGCCTTCCCATAGAGTTTTCAAACCTAACATGCAGCTTTGTGTCCGGAGCACCGTCTTCTAAAGTCTAAGAACCAAGATCCGAGTTCGCCTCTCCCATCTTCTTGAGGGATTTGAAAGCCTTGGCTGCTGAGGTCCTCGGTCCGAAGCCAGTCCACCGCCCCTACTTGGGGGTTTCCGAAAATAGGGTACCCTAAAGAGTAGGATCCTTACCGCAAAATAAGGTACCCTAGTAATCGGAAACTCCTACTTGGATTCGAAGAGACACCCCTCGCAAGCCCAAGGAGAAGAGAAGCGAAGCTTTGAGTCATCACTGCCAGCGCCAGGACCCCGCCCCCCGATGCCAGGGCTTCGGGCAGTTTGTCTGACTCCTCGTCGTCCTCCTCGTCCTCCTCCTCCCCCTCCTCCTGACAGAGACAAGCTCCGACGTTCACAAGACTCGAGAGGCCCCTGCACACGAGGTCTCCTGGTCGACGGCTACGTCAGGTGCGGCACCTCAGCCATCAGCAGCCACTGTTTCTGAAAGCTCTGCAGTAACTTCCGCGAAGACGAAGTGGTGGCGATTTGCTGGAAGACAGGGGGCGAAGAAAATCAGGATGAGACTGATGGCGCTGTAACATGCACACATCCGGCGGCCAGGCCCGGGACCTTCCTTCTCCTCGTCCTCTTCGTCTGAGTTGATGATCTTGCCGCCATGATCCTACCCGGAAGCTTCAAGCAACCTTTTCTATGAGTTCTTTAATAATGGCGGCATGGCCGAACAGAGCCGAAAAGAGTCGTGCTGGTTACCCCAGGGCTTGGGCCGCTCGGGAAGTCAAAGCCCAGGCTCCTCGGAGTCCGAATCATCATAGTTGCCTCCAGGCACTGCCCACTGCTTCTCGTTCCGAAGGTTTTTGTGATTTTCAGAGCTTCCGCTTCAATTCCAATTCCATCGCGAACTTGTTGCTGCTAGCTGCTAGTTACTAGTTCCCATACTTCCCATGACCGCGACTACGACTACGCAGACACGGCTACGGCTAAGGCCCACGGGCCAAAGGCCGGCCGGGGGCGAAGGCCCAAGCTGTCGAATCCAGGGCTCTCGTGACTTCTTCAAGGTGTCGGGTACCGGAGCCTCCCAGCATGGCGTCACAGACCGGCGCACATCAACGCGTCCCAGTTTCTCTATTCGCCTATCTGGGATTCGAAACGGGTCCAACCTCGTAGCTTCCTGGTGCTGTCAATCTGTGTCGCATTGCTCATTGTTGCTAAGATCCTGCCACTGCCTGCAGTATGAGCCAGCGTCTTCAGGGTATCTTGCCACTGCGTTTGTCGGAGTCCCGGATTCCTGACCGTGCTGTTGACTCGAACATGAGTGGTCCAACAGCTAGTGCGATCTTGTGGCTCTGTAAAAGGACCTAGCCGCCCTAGCCATTTCTTGCATCCCTGCAGACAGCATCCCTTTGTCTTGCGATAAACTCGCAGCTACAACTGACAAACAGCTCTCCAATCCAGCCGCACAGACACACATCTCCGACCCTAAACCCTAAACCCTGTGAAACTCCCGACTCTGAACCTCCACATCTCCCGAGGCCTCCCCACGAAGCCAACCCCCAACCTTTAAACGCCTTAAACCCTTCCCTCGAACCCCAAACCATATTCTAGGCCCGCCTTTTCTGAAGCCCCTCAACCCTCAAGTTCATTAGTGTCCCCTGAGACCTGCACCCCCCAAAACGCTATAACTCTTAGTCCCATCCGCTGAGACCCTACAACCCGAAACCAAACCCTAGCCCTGCGGTTTTGTGCTCTGGCTTATGAGCTGTGCGTCTCCACTCGCGACTGCCAGCCAGCTGTGCCAGCATTTCGAAAAAGGACCAAGGATCGGAGTTTGGCGTCCTGCTGAGTATTTCATATAGAGGTTTAAGGGTGTTTAGTGTACAGGCTCCTTAGAAGATCTTAGACTAGGGCTCAGGAAAGGTGCAAAGCTCGAAGATTAAGGTTGAGGGCTTATCGTGCCCATGAGCTTTCGGATATGCTTGGAGGCCATGTAAACCTTAGCCCTAAACCCTGCAAGCCAAAAGCTGCCTCTTAAAAAGCAAGTAAGCCTTACCGGGTGCGGGCATTTGGGGATTTCAGGATCTTGATGCCCCAAGGGCCTCTGTGGGTGATCGGACCCGGCGCTCCGCGGACATCGCACCATGGACCTTGTACAAGTGGGCAACCCGTCGAGGCATTCATAAGTGTTGGGTTTTAGAATGTTTTGGGGTTTAGGAGTTGGGGTTAAGGCTCCGGGGATCGGAGAAGTTGGCTGAAATGAGCGGCCAGGAGCCCGAGATCTTGTTCGCGGCGACAGGCGGTGCTACATGCAGGAGTTAGCACTGTACAAGTGCAGCAACCATTCAAACGATGCGGTCGCTTGATTAAAGGGGCCACATAGCCTTCCAGAGTGGAATTCCTCTCGGCCACGCTGATTCTGTTCCTGAAGCTACTTAAAGAATGTTTAAAGCTGAAGCCAAAAATTAAAGTCGCGAGCATTCTGGGCGCAAGCACGGCTGGCTAAACAGTTATCACCGTTTGACATCACTTTAGACGACCCGTCCTCATTATTACCGCATTTATATGTGTGAGATTTTGTGAAGAAGCCGTGCCACCACGCCGACAGCTCGCCAAAACGTGCAGTGCATCTGACAATGATTCGACAAGCGTTTCCTCGTCGATGCTGCTTCAAAGCGTATGATGAAAAGCAGTTTTCGGCTCACCACGGCCCGAAGTTTTGTACCCGGGGCTTGGTGGCCTTCGTGGAGCTCTGCTTGGCCTGCTGACCCTTGGTTTTCAAGGCAGACTGAGCCGCAGCCAGTCGGGCAACTGGCAGGCGAAAAGGCGAGCAGCTCACGTAAT